TATATATATATATATATATATATTGATGATATATGGAAAGGAATTTAATAATTGATGAGCTGTGATTAAAATACTACGTTCTAACTTACTTACATCTTCTACCGTGGGAGCAGAAAAAACCACACACACACACCACTCGAATACCAGAATGAACGAAAAGTGATGCTGTGGCCGGTATTTAATTCAGTTATTTTGGGGTCAAGAGCAGTGCTGATGGGCGGATAAATGTAGATGTGTCATTCGAGTTCTTTTACATTCTAACATTGATTGAGGTCAGCAGTCATGATTGACCCCCTAATATTCCCCGAAGTCATGATCACTTGTCAATGTCTTCTGATGTCTTTTGTTAAGAAGACACACTTATTTTTATAGTAATATTATTGATTACCTTATACGTTTATTTTTCATTAATATAGAAGCAGTTTTTAGCTTTAAACATTATAAAAAAGTGAAACGAAAATTCAAGGTCAAAGGGCATGGAAATAGGCATATGACAGAATGCATGACAGCTTAAAAATTACTTTCAAAAGTTTGAAAATTTCATTAGTAGAAAGATGAAGTCTTATACACATGTTTCTGCACTAGTTTAATTGCTGAATTCAAAATTGTTTCTATTTTTAAGTCAGTTAGCATTACGGTAATTGAAACAGATACATCATTCCCATATTGTGATAATTAAGAAGAACCCAAGTTACAGGTCAAGGTTAGGTGCTAGAAACGAATTGCTCAGCAGAGGTCAATTTCAAAAGAAATTAAGTAATTAATGAGCAACAGTTTCAAATGAAGATATATCTTTAAGATGGATAACTTGTTACTGCCCTGAGAATGCATGCGCAATATCCTAAAAATTTAACCTAAAAATAATTTTCGTCACTTTCTTACAAATAAAATCAAACTTTCAACTTAGGAAAAAAAGAAAACCAATTCAAAATGATCGATGCTTTCTGAATAATTTTGATAATAATAATTGATTTATGAAATAATAATGAATAATGATAATTGTGCTAATGAATAGTAACAATTCTGAATAATAATTGATTTGTGCTGCATCTAAGCTAGTAATAATAATAACTTAATTATTTGCTGAGAAGGTTTATTATTTCTTATTTTTGAATTTACTATAATCAGTCATTAAATTTGTATATTATCAAAAACTGTGAACAGTTTGTCAAAATTGCTTTCAATCGAACAATTATCGAATGTTAATTGACTTAATATTACTTGCTATAACAGTTGTAATACTTTTAAATTACAGTTGTAATACCTTTTTATTACTCTAAATATAATTATTTCAAAAGTTAGATAAATAGTAATATTAGAAAAAGGTGTCAATGTCTTATAGTTTCAGAATATGCAAAAAAGTTGGTACAGTTCTGAAATGTTTCCAAAATTAATACAACAAAAGTAGTTAATTAGAATATAATTTTTTATAAAACATATTATTTCAAAAAATAATAATATTAATTGGAAGTATCTTACTTCAAATATTTGACAGTGTTTGCAAGTCACTTCGTTTATCGACCTATGACCCAAAGTATGAATATAATTGCCATTCGTTTCAATTCTGATCCAAATAGCAACAAAGTCATTGACATGTTCCCAAAATCAATTCCAATTTAGTATTTTTTTTTTGAAATAATGATCAATAAAAAATTGGTGTAAAAACCATCAATAGATTAAGCTTTGGTTTCTTTTGCTCTAAGATTGTTATGAGCGGTTCATTAGAAATAACAAGCTTTGACCTCTATTAACCATATTAATTAGCAATCTGACTAATCATATCAATTAGCAATTTGATCAGAAATTGAATAATATGATAATTTTGCATTGTAGTCCAACGTTACTTTAAAAAAATTTAGCAGACCAAAGCTTAATCTACAGGTGGTATTAAGTAGTATGCAAACCGCAAAAAGACAGAATGAAAATTGTTGTCTCCTTGCATCAGCTAAATATTGTAATGATATTTTAGCAGTTATTGCTTTTTAATGCCATAAACCATATACAAATTAGATACGATTCTTGTTTAAATTGGTTCAGATTTTATCAGAATCCAGTACCAGATATGATATTTCCGGAATTAATTGGTCCTTTATTTTAAAGGGATTTATATTATCAATCTTTGAGTATTTGTCTGAGTAAAAAGTTCACTTGTTATTGTATGAAACAGGGTTTGCTTATTTATTTTCAACATCAATTTTTATTTTTTAGATACAACAATGTCGCTCTTAGATACTGTGGAATTACAAGGAATTCGAGGTGTTGGAGTTGGACCTCAAAATGCGAATGTAATTGAGTTTTTGTCACCACTTACTATTATTTGTGGTCCAAATGGTGCGGGAAAGACAACGATCATCGAAGCTCTTAAATATGTTACAACTGGAGAATTACCAAAAGGCAGTTTCCAGGCATTCATACATGATATGCGAGTATGTTTTTTTTCCATCATTTTTCTTGGCAATATTAATTATAGCAAAAACTTGAAAGCGTAATATTAAAGCATAAAAACAGAGAATCTCGACAGACTTCGAAATTTCATCGAGTAATTAAGTTTTTAAATACATTGCATACGTACTAATTTGCAGTTAGCTGATAGAACACGAGTGGATGCTTCAGTAAAGTTGAAATTCAAAGATATAAAGGGGAGATGTTGTGTTGTGACTCGTCGTTTAATGCAGTCTAAAGGAGCAAAGGTAAAGCGTTAGACAATTCTTCTACGTTTCTGTTATTGTTTTTCAGTTCATTACGTTGATTTATAATTTAGGGTAAAGTGACAAATAAGTCTGAAGAAAGTACGATCGCAATAGAAAAAGAACCTGGTGAATGGAAAAGCTTGTCGTCAAAAGTTATTGATTGCAGAAAAGAGGTTCACATATTCTCATTTTCGGTGTATCTTGTTAGAGACATCAATGTCTCATTGATAATTATTCCTTACCAAGTACATGATATCCATTATTAGATAGAATAGTTTGAGTTAGTTTTTCGAAGGAGAATTTCAGATATTAAATCTTCTTGGTTTACCTGCAGCAATTTTGGAGTATGTTGTTTTCTGTCACCAGGAAGAATCGTCTTGGTTCGTGTTTTTTCGAACCATCACCATGTTCAGTGTGCAGCTTTCGCTTTGCATAGATTTTCATGACTGGAAAACAATTATATATTTTTTAAAATGTTATTTATTATCTAATTAAATGATCATTCCAGGCCGCTGGACGAGCCTAAAAAACTGAAAGAGCGTTTTGATGAGATTTTCCAAGTTACGGGTTATGTCAAAGCTATCGAAGTATTGAAAAAGGAACTAAAAGAGAATGTTCGTTTTCATGATTCATTTACTATCTTATTTTTTCATGGCTGCCTATGATTTCCGACATTTTTTTGATGTACAGATTTATATTTGCAGCAACAAGAATTGAAAATCTTAGAAGGAAGACTACCTCTTCTAATCAGACAACAAGAAGAAAAAATTGAAGTTGTATTCATATTATTTTATTGTTGCAGCATTCATTATTGCTTACTGTACTGATTGACTAATCATTTAATTTGTTCTAAAAGTTTTAATTCTTTGTAGTTGCACAATGAATGCGTTAACTTGAAAATACTAGTAGCGAGAAATGAAAAGGAAATTTCACTTAATGAAAGTGCACTGAAAGAAAAATTTACACAGAAAGCTGAAAAAGTTGTCGAACTGGAGAAAGCAGAAATGTTAAGAAAGAGGCATGGTAATTTTTATGTTTTGTTTTCATGAGCCTTGGTTTGAGGTGGGATTCAATATCTTCGTAATGAGTTTTGTTTAAGATATGGTCGAAGCAGAAAGACAGATACTTGTTGACCAAATCAAAAACTTCTCAGTGGCTGATTATGAAGGGAACATCGACGAACTTAAACATGAAATCGAATCGGTATATTACCTCATTTTCTACTTCAGTTTTTTCATTAGGGACTAAGATGCTCAAAACCAGAAATTTTTTGCAGATTTTACAATCTGATGAATTTGAAAATGCGCAACGCAATCGTGAACGTATTGATTTGGAGATCGAGACTCTTAATAATAAGATTAAGAAATATATGTCGAAAAAAGAAATGCTTAATAATGAAATAGTGCAACTCAAAAGTGTTCAAATGGTCAGACTTCGGTTTTTTTTTTGCAGAGTGTTATGTGAAATAGCGTGAGATCCTTCATTAAATTGGATTAGTGCAGTTTTGAGGGAAAACATTCACTTTAATAGCATTCAAAAATTTTGTCAATTTTAGATGCGAGAGAAGCTGAATATAGAAAAAAAACAGTGTTTGGAAAAGTGCAGCAGAAATTTTGACTTGAAAAGTGAGCATTTGATGTGATTGGATTTGAATTAAATCGTTGTTTATTTTTTCGTTTGAACATGCTTTCATGTTTTTTAGGTGAACAAACAGTACTGAAAGATTTGCGATATTTGATAGAAAAACAGAACGAAAAAATTCATAACTTCAAAGTATGAGTTTTTTGCAATGTAACAGCTATTTTTTATTTTTATATTATTTGTACTTCTGCATTCTAACTTTTACAGAGTTTACATTTCTAACTCTTACAAAGCAGATTTGCAGGCTGAAAGAGAACGACTGCAGCTAGTTTGTCAAGAAGAGATTGATGGTATATCGGAACGTTTAGCTCAAATCACTTTTACAGCAGAAATGAAAAGTAAGGAATGTAAACGGCTTGAAAGAGATATATCTGCAGCAGAATTTGATTTGTTGGAAGCTTCTACCTCTCTTCAAGAGTAACCTTTTTTATAAATTTCACTCGGACTCAAGGTTGTCTGATTATAGTTTGGACAAGTGTTTTAGCGATGAAAGTTATAAATTTTATCGTTTAATATCTTAGAAGACAGAAAATTTTAGTGTGAACGTGACTGGCCGTACTTTATTCGTTATTCACTGATCATATTATGCGGTTATGAAGAGTCAAAATTTAGGTTGAATCATTTGCAAAATGAAATATCGGAACAAGAGAAAGTGCTAGAAACTCTACAGAACAATGAGAGGTTAACAAAATCAGTGCAAAATTTGAAAGATGAGAGAGATGACATTGCGAGCAAAGTAAAATTACTACATATCATACTTTTACTTTTCCCATCATGCTTTGATTTTTTCATGCATAATCCGTGTCATTTATTGTAGTCTTTTCAAAAATGAATTTACTTGAATTTAAGCACTGCTTCGGAAACTGTGGGATGAAAGTACTGTTTGAGATTGTTGTAGATAGAAAAACTGAAGAAAGAATGCCGTATTAAAGAAAACGCGGAGGAAATTGAAAATAAAATCAATGAAAAAAATAATGAACTAAAGAAATTCGAAGAACAACTTCATGCGCTTAAAAGCAAGCATAGAAGTTCTTTTTTACAAATATTCAATTCTGAAGAACCAGAATTTCCATTGTGGTAATTTAATTTTGGGAAATGTTTACTTTTTTACTCCTTATCTTTTGTTTTATTGTGCACTTGTGCTTTTGTTTTCAAGCCAAATGCCTTTCCAGAACCACTTGTTATCAGACTCTGAAGTCATATGCAACAGTTGCTTAATAGTCACAGACTTGGCAATAGCTGCTTATGATTTGTGTAGCGGGAAACCTTTTATTTCTAGTGACCAACTCAACATTCATATTCGGAAAATAATGCGAAATTTGACGGCAGCAGAGGATGAGTTCAAAATTCGGGAAAAAGAAATATCTCGTATTCAGTTTACCATATCACAGATAAGTCGAGAGATAGATCAATTATCTGAACAGACCGCATCGTATAGACAAAAAATAAAAAAGGTACTTGGACGATCATTTCATAGGCTGATAAAAATATATAAGAAATTCATCATCTATTTATTGATCAGTTATTAAAACACTTGAAGCAAATAATTCCATATATATTTAAATATTGCTAAAAGATTCAGCAGATATTTAGTTCTGTATGTTTTCTAAGGTTGTTACTCATGAAAATGAAGTGGAAACACGGTTAAATGAAGTCAAAACTCTTCTCAAAAAATCGCAGCAAGATTCAGGGCGCGTTGATGGTTGTGCTTATTTATATGAACAATGGGACGAGGAAGTTGCTATGAAGAAGTGTTGTCCTTTGTGTGAACGACCCTGTGAGAACACAGAGGATTCTATGATCCTTCGTGAAAAGGTTTCACTATTGAAAAGACGAAAAGTCGCATCAAATTGTTTTTGTTCATTCAATTTAGAAAAATATAGTGCAGAGTTTTTATTAAAATTTTCGCTACAGCCAATATTGCAGCTAAAGCTAGTGATTGGGATTCAGTTTTCAGTTGAAGCTTCGGAAAAGCAACTTGCCTAAAGAGGCGGAGACTTTGTTACGTAAAATGAAAAATTACGAAGATATGCATAATGAACTGATGGAAATTATGCCTTATGTTGGTATGTTAGAAAAAAGTAATCGTGAAAAGGAGCATTTGCAAGAAAACCTAATCAAAGCTGAAGTAAGATTTATATTTTTATTCACTTTTGGTGATGTTATATTGCTATATTGATTTATCTTTGGTGATGTTATATCTTTCTTTTAGTGATTTTTTTCAACTTTGGTAGGTGTACTCGTTGTATTTTTGTTTGAAGATTTTGTTTAGGAAAAGATGCGTCAGTTGGAGGGGGAATTCTCGAAGGCAAAGTCGGAAAGAGATACTTTGTTTGAAAAGTCGAATGTGATTCGCGATGTTCAGGTGCAATGTTTTTTTATAAATTTTAGCTTATTACATAAAACTTTCATGTCATTTGCACTTAATACTTGTTTAATTAACTATCATATGTTTATATGAAAGTTTTTGAAAAATTTTGGAAGATGTTTGAGAAGGAGTTGCTTCATGCTTTTAAAAGTTCGTTTAGACTGATGCTTCTTTGATGGATAACATTTGGAAATCAGTATCTTGTTCAAAACGCAGTATACAGTTGCTTAATGCGGAAGTTGATTTTGAAACTTGTTCGGAGCGATCATTAAATGAAATACGCAAGGAAATAAAAATTAACGAAGTGATTGCAGTTTTGTTAATAACTGTTAAGTTATATATTCTGTATCATCTGTGGTAAGCAATGTTCGGTTATTATCACAAGTGATTGTATTTTGCAGGAAAGATTCAAAGAAATGATTGATGAACTCGACATGGTTCAAGCAGCAGCTTACGAGAAAAATAAACTTATTGAGAAGGTGATGTTTGACATTTATTTTATCAGATTCAGATCGTAATCTGCAATCAACTGCTGGAAGATCTGAAATAGAGTAGAATTTTTTGAAAATTTAATTTTTTTGTGCTCTGTGATTTTGGGATGTTTTCATTATAGTTAAATGGGACAAAAGAACAACGCATGAAGTTAGGCGATAAAATATTGCGCCTTGATTCATTTAAAAAAGTGCTGAATGTAAGGCAAAAAGAATATCAGGAAGTGGTGGAGGAATTGAAAAAAATTACGTTAAAGCAACCAATTGTCGAGCAGGAATTGCAGGTATTTAAATTTCAAATAAATTTACATTCATTTTAAAATTACTGTATGAAACGAGATCGAATGTTGTCACAAATTTTTGTACACTTTTGTGAAAAATTCTTGTCATTTCAATTAACTTTTTTTTTCTTTCAGGCCAAAAAAGAAGAGCGATCAATTTTACAAAATAGAAATATAAATAAAGAAGCAGAATTAATGCGTTTATTACGAGATTTAGAGGATTCTGCAAAAGAATTAGGTATTTATTGAGATATATTGATACTCTCATTGTTTATTTGGCCCCCCGTATATACATGCTTATTTATTCATCAAAACAAAATTTTTTAGAGTCTTTGGATGTAAAATTGCAAAATATGGGAGATGGTTCTGAAGATATCAAACTCCGTGAAGAAGATTTATCTAAAGTAAATACAGAAATTGATATGTGTAATGCCAAAATTTGCCAGTTAATGGGGCAAATTGATTATTTAAGTTCGAAGGTATGAATTTTATTTTTATTTCAAAAATTTTTTAAACGAAGGAAAGAGGAGTTAAAAAAAACAAAGGAGAAGTTACATTATGTTCGTCTGTAGCCATTTAAATTGTGATATTTATTTCTAGCAAGAACGGAAACATAGATTAGAAGATCAGCTGCGGAAGTTGGAATTACAAGAACGAATTAGAATTTTAGATCAAAGTTTAGAAGATACCAAATGGCATGGCAAGCCATATGCAGAGTTAAAAAAGGAACATGATGTACTCTTAAACAAATTAACTGAACTCCAGTTGATTGTTGAAAATAAGAAAGGTATTTATTGGTTCATTTGAATTTTGGATTTCTAATTTGCAAAGTTTTTGGCACCATTGTGTTCGTTTCTTACTTATTGTGTCAAAATTGTTCAAGGTTTCATCTCATTTAGTTTAAACAAGACAAGTCATGTATTTAAACTCCTCTTTTCCTTCATCTTTCATTTCTCAATATTGCAATAAATTTTGCTTTTCGGTGAACTCAGCGAACAAAAAAAACGATTAGTAGTTCTGGAGAAGACATTGTCATCTGCTGAATATGCGAAATTTAAAGAGGATTTTAAAAAGGAAGTTGTGAAAAAATGTGTTACTACAAAAACTATCGAGGTTCATCTCATTCTTAGACAAAATTTATTTTACATCACAGCTTTCTATGCACTTTTTTGGTCATTATAGGATTTAATGAATTACATACGAGTGGTTGATGATTCCGTTGTAAAATTTCATGCTCAAAAAATGGAAGAAATCAATGAAGTGTTAGGTTCCCTGTGGGAAAAAGTTTATCATGGAAGTGATATCGAGACTATTCAAATCAAGTTAATAGTTTAAGAATTTTTATCGCTTGCTTGAAATTGACTGAAAAAATTTTATGTCCTGTAGATTTGCAATTTGCAACATATTGATGGAAAGTTGCTGAAAATCTGAAAATTTTGTCTAAAAAACGATGGAAGTCTTTTGTTGAAAACTAATATGTGTTCAGTGAGTTCAAAAAAATGATGCTTCTATTTGAAGGTCCGAAAGTGCTGGCGAAATGGAAAAGAAAAAGTCTTATAACTATCGTGTAGTAATGTATGTCAATGGTACTGAAATTGATATGCCCGGAAGGTGCAGTGCTGGCCAGAAGGTACAAGCTTTTTTGAGGATAAAAGTTCCATGAAAGGGATTTGTATGTCAAAGTTACAGCCAAATTATGAAAAATTCAGCAAAACATTTAGCTTCACTAGAGTGAAGATGTAGAATTTAGTCCATTGTTCTTTTAGATGCTTGCATCGATACTGATAAGAATTGCACTGTCTGATGTTTTCTGTGATAAATGTTCGATAATTGCTTTAGATGAGCCGACAACAAACTTAGATGTACTAAAAGTAAGTCATCCAGCAGTATTTCGCTGTGCTTTGGAGCCTTAAAAGTTATTTATTCATTTTCCAACTTTCACTGGGAATACTTCTGAATTTCCTAATGTGGATCTTTTTTTAAGGTAGAAAATTTGGGCGATATGTTGGCAGATATTATTTCAGTCCGGTGCTCAAATAATGCTAAGACTTTCCAACTTATTGTAATAACTCATGATAGCCGATTCGTAGAGCATCTCAGGCAATTATGTCGACCAGAATGGGTCTATTCAGTTTCCAAAAATAGCGAAGGTATTTTTTTTCTAGAGATTTTTCTTTATTATTGACGTTCACCATCATTCTTCTAGGTGATAGTTGTATTAAAAATAGTCATTTCCTTCAACTTTAAATATCAGAAGATTCGTTGGGATGACAATATTTGTAATTGCAATGTGAGAGCTGACTATATTGTCATTTCTGGAAGTACTGTAATTCAATACATCCTTGGCAAATAAAATCACTTGCTCGTTTTCACTTTTTGAATAATTGTTCTAAAGGCTTATCCCGAGTAAAGCGTCACCGAAATCTTGAAGATGCAGCCATGCGTGAAGAATGATGAATTGATATTTACAACTTTTTGCTTGTTCAGAGATTGATCTGAAATATTTTTTTTCTTTAAATATATTCCATATTGTTCACCTCTCTTCTTCATAGGTGAAGATACCGAAGCACTTTAATTGTTGTCGTTTTATTGAGATCATCTGGTCTTACAGAATGTAACAGCATTGAAACATCTTGATAATTATCGATCTCATTAAATAATTGATTTTGTTCATGTTAGATGTCATTCATCTATTTCATTCTCATTTTTTCACTTTCTGTGTTCAACCTTATCTACGACAATAAGGTACATGTGTATACTGTTCAATAAATACTGAAATTTTTGTGTGAAGCAGTTGAAATTGATATTGTTCAAGATATATATTTTAATCCAGTGTACTATGTTTTATCGTTATACCAAATCAAGATTGCATTCCAAGGGTTTTTCAGAGTTTCATTTTTATTCGGGGATTTAAAGATAAGTGTATGTCTCAAATTATTAATGCGTGATCGAAACGATGTTTCCTAATCAGGAGCATTATTTCCCACGCAGTAATTTATCCCAGCAAGTCTTGCGACCGGCTCTTGCTTTTCCGAGATATGCATATAATAACGCATTTGGTAAGTTGTTTGAAACAATTTTTATATTTTTCGATTTTAAAGTAGTTATGTCTGGAATAACTCTGCAGAAATAGTGTAATTTTGAAGTATTCAGTATCAGGAAGGAGGGATTTCACGTCATTTTCTTTCAAAGGTCAGTCCACTGGTTTCATTTTCCTTTTTAAAGGACTTAAGTTTGTTAGTTTCTTTCAAAAACTGTTATTATTTTCCATATTTTAGAATTAGAAGTTGCTGAATTTAAAATCAGTAGCATATGCAGCATATTTTAATATTAACTTTTTTCAATTTCAGAAATAGTTGATCTTTTTAGTAATTGAAGTCATAATTGAATTTTTCCTGCTAGTTGAACAACTTGAAAGAACATGGTGGTTTAGAAAATTTTTAGGTTTTTGTCTTTTGTTTCGTCATTTTTTCGGTCATCCAGTTTGTTAGTATAAATTTGGTTTTTATAAATTGAGAGCTTTTTGCAGACAAAATGAAATATTAATTTCACTTGAAAAGGTTTTGTCTAAAGAAAAATTTATCCACTTACAGTTCCGCCTTCCCTTAATGTACATTCTACCACAAGTGGACAGCCTCCAGTTTTTCCATTAATCACTCCACATGCATCTACAACTAATCTGTTGACACTGAGACCACTACTTTCAGTGCCGAACTCAGCTGCACAAGTATGTTTACTGGTCCTAATTTCTTGTCAAAAAATTTACTTTATTAGAGCTCATTATTTGAACCCTGGTTTAGTACACATGTTAACATTTTTTTTACAGGCACCAGTTCTTCGCGGTCTTTCTTACGGTGCTCAGAGAGGCATACCTGGACGCTTAAGACCAGTGTTTTGTAGCGCAGGTTTATTTTGAATTGCTTATTAATCACTGAAAGTCATCTTGCATTCTAATGTTGCTAATATTTTTGCAAAACAAACATAAGTAAGAAAAAGCTTCTGTTTAGACAAGTATCCATGGCAGTCAGCAAATGCAAGACAGTTTGTTAGACTTCCCGTTAATTGCAGCCAAGTTTCGGTGACCAGTTCTAGAGATATGCCTCGTGTCGCAATTAAACAGGTCCTTGCTTGAAAATTTTATGTATAATGGACATTTCCATCTTTATCATTAATTGTGATGTATGTCTTACAATCTCAAAAGTCACTTGAGCGACTAGTTTTTCATCTATGCTATTCAGAATTCACATCCACGTGAAGTGATGACTTCCGATGTTGCAATTCCCGTTCCAGCTTCTGATTGTATGGAGTCAGCTGAGGAATCAGCAGATGCAAGCGATATTGATCTCAAGTAACTGATGCATTGAATTTAATCAATAATTATACTACTTTGGGAAGGAAAACTATGTATTACCATTTTCATTTTCGATATTTGATCTAATTTTTCAATTTATAGACACGAAGGCAAGGAAGAAGGCCAAAAAAATAAAAATTGGAAAAAGATAAAAAGACAACGAAGGAAGCGTAAGCGAGAACTGTGTAGCAGTGATGGGAGTGATTCAGAACATATTAAGTCTTATTTTCATTTATGTATTTTAAAGTTTGTTGGCAGCACATATGAGACAAAGTTATTGCTACAGAAAAACTGAACGTATATTAGAATATTTGATAAGGGAGTATTAAAAAGAAATCATAGTATCTACATTCATTCATATTGCATAATTTTGGGGATGTCACGATGAAAGAAATCATTTGTTTTCAGCTGCTTTAGAACACGGCTCAAGTAAAGATGTCCCGCGTTGGCAGAAACTAACCGAGGAAGATTTCGTTGACACGATTTTGAGCGATACTGATGATGAAGCTGACCAACTTGAACAAACAGTTGCATGTAGTGGATTTCACTTAAAATGCATTCTTGATAGCAGATTTTATTCTACTGTACGTTTTGTATTAGTTTCTGAAACGCATTGTGCGATTGCAATAGTGGGTAATCTTTTTGTTATTAAATTTACAGAATAATGCTGGTGATGCATGTGCCACTAATGAATTGAAAAAATTACAAACCAAATTCAAAAAAGAAGTGATCGAAAAAATTGCTATAGAGAAGGAAAATCAACCAAAATCAGATCCTCCAGAAGTTATCGCATTTCACGAAAACTGCAAATGTTAGAATCGTTTTAGAATATTCAAAGCATTTTCTACTGAGCAATTGAAAATTTTGTCATGAAGATTTTGTCAGCAATTAAAAAATGTGTCATATGCTGACCATATTAAAAAGTCCTTGAAATTTTGCATTTAGGTGGACATCACTCTGATACCGAAACAGAGTCAGAAAGCAGCGATTCTGACCAATGCAACGATGACAGCGATGATAAAGGTGTGGATACATCTGTCACTGGATCTGTGGCTGATAATAGGCGCAGGATTAATCCTGAGAAATTAAGCGAATCTAAGAAGCATAGCACTGTTGCGAAAGAAGAGGCTAGCTCTTATTTCTTATCCTTTGTTCACTCATCATTTTCACAGTCCAAGCCTTTAATTTTTTAAATCTATAGTATCTTCTATGTTTTCAGTGATTTGCAATTTATAAAATAAGCTTTATTCAAGGTGAGTAGAAAACGGAATCATCCAGCTGTTTTACATGCCGATGTTTGTTTCAATGAAGCTGGTCAGGTGAATGATGGTCCAGAATGCCGTTGTTCATGGACAGCTAAGAAATCTGGTGTACGTCACAATAAGTATGCTGGCGAAACTGTCATCAAAAAATGCGACCCGTATTCTAGGTCTTCATAATTCAACTCTCATGATTGTTTTTAAACTCAGGCATTTTTTGCTAAAAATGAGTTCCTCAATTTATTATTGACTCAGTTGTACCGTCGTCGAAAGTATTTCAAAATCTGCAATATATGTCTATATTTACAACATGAAAAAAATCAGAAATTTAAACTGTTATATTTGTGAAGTACCTTATCCACACTCTACCACTCTATTATACCCTTACATTTCATTGTTTTAGCAATGCTCATCGTTTATGGCATTATATACTTTATACTGAACCAAATCCAAATACCATAGCTCGTCGTTCAACGAAGATCAATCATGAGGGCAAAGTATTCGAACTAGAAGGCTTCTCTGTTTTCTTTCATCGACCACTTCCGTTAAATTTTCCTCAAACACCTTTATCTAAATGGACAAGTGAATACAGCATGAAATTCATGAAAGAAGCTACCCCAACGGTTCTCTTTATATTTTATTATTTTTGTCTTTTGATTTCGAACGAAAACTTTCTTATATTTTCCTAGTTTTTGCTTCAATCCATATAATTAAATTCTTAGAATATTTAAAAGTTTTGCTAATTTATATAGCCCTCTAAGTAACTTTTGCAGAATTTCACCGTAGAAGATTTAGAATTATTTCACCATTATTTATTCATCGATGTTATGGAAATGTATGACTTGAAAAGATATCCTCTTGATGACACTGAGGGTTGCCCTTATTATCACTGTATGCCCAGATTCGTTTGTAATGTTCAAGGTGATTTTATCTTTTTGATTTTTTCCTTATCGACTGCCATACTTGTGCTCTACTTTTTTTAAAAAATTTTTTACATTCGTAATTATTTCAAAGCGTTATTTGAACTTGCTCAAAACCTGCTATAATTTCTGGTTCATGAAGTGCTGTTGTAGCAGATGAGAAGGAAATATTACCTATGTCAGTTGTACTGGACTTTATCATTAATAGTTATCACCCATTTATGACGGAATCCCAGGCGTTAATTTTTAAAACAGATTCTGAAGCATATCGTGAATTCACTGAAACTGTGCGTGGTTCTCTTGTGATGGATGCAAGCAAGGTAAAGTAGAAGTCATTAAATCAAAGTACTGGTCATAATATTTCTGCGTTCTTATGTGCTTAATGCCAATTGATTGCTTTTAGGCCTAAAATTTCATTTTTTCATTTAGTGCAACCTTTGTTTAAGTAACTGTCTTTTAGAGGCCCTCAACGATTCGAGCGGATCTTATTGACAGTCCTGATTTTCTTCCTAACAATCCAGATACTCTTTATCCATTAATTACCCATTTCGGTGTGAGGCCTTCTTCTCATACTTATAATTCGAACACAGAGTAATTATTTCTCCAAATATATTTTTTTTAATATTGTTTAAATTGAAATGCTTTTGTTAAAAATTTTTCATAAGGTGTATTTACTCATTGGATAGTTATAGTAAGAAAAAGAGTTCTAGGGATGTATTGCTTTGTGACTGGTATTGACTTTGTAATCCGGATTTCTGTTGCAGTTTATGCTTTTGACTAAATATTTGTTCAGTTGATTTTCTTGAACTGTAGAATTGCATGATTGTGTGCTATATTTGTTTCAGATATCAGAGGATGTCGAAGGATTACTTGAAAATGCGCAAAATTCTTGCAATGAAACCTCGAGTGAGTGCAGAAGAACGTGGAAAGCTTGCTCAGAAAGCATCGCAGTTAAAAGCATTGCGTAATGATAGGTAATTATGTAAACTTTTCGTCACATTCTGCTAGTTTAAAAAAAAACTCACTGAAAAGTCGCATCTAATTAACACTGGCAAAAATATGAGAGAACAACTTCCTTTAAAAAACCTGGTAAAAATAAAAGTCTTTCCATGTTATAATCATCTATGAATTGAATTGTTTTTCTCATTTCAGTCAACTAAGACGTGACTTTGTTATGTCGATATCATCTCGTAATTTCTATCATACAGGGCTCTTTCCTGATATTGTACAGGTATGCATATATGTTTCTTATCTCAACTTCTGAAATTGATTGTTCTTATATCAAAACTTGTGATATCAATTTTTTCAGCATGGTTTACTCCTGATTCTTGCTTGTTCACATGTTCGCTTTCAGTGGTCTTTGGAAGTGTATGAACAAGAACGTATACATTATGTTTTTAAGGTTATCTTTTTTAAAGAAAGTAAGCGAATCTTACGACTTTCATGTATAGAAATGATAAAGATAATTTTTATTTTGCTTGAGCAGAAATTTCATTCTGCTTTTTGTCTTTTTAGAATCGATCGCTTTTGGAATTGGCATTAACACATCCATCGTATCGTAGTAGTTATGGTACCAATAGTGATCATGCTCGTAATACACTCAATAATTGTGGTGTTCGTTCTTCAAAGCAGCGAGCGCATGATCGCTTAGTACAACAGCAGCTGAGTGCAAAGAAACGAGGTGCTTATATTTTTGTTTGCTTGTCGTGGAGTTTAAATATCTTTTATGAACTTGCTAGTAATCCTAGGATCCAAACACTTTTATTTGTACTATTAAGCTAATTTTAGGATTTCATACCTTAATGGAAATTATGTCAAAGTTGGGCTCAAAAAGAGTGGAACAATCACCGCTGAATCATAACGAACGATTAGAATTTCTGGGAGATGCTGTTATTGAGTTCATTACCACTATTCATCTATTTTATATGTTTAGTGAACTTGATGAGGGTGGTTTAGCAACCTATCGTTCGGCAATGGTTCAAAATAAAAATCTTGCTTTGCTTGCTAAGGTGCTTTTTCATTTTCAGTAAATTTAATAGTGTTATAGTTCCAACTATGACGATATGAAGATTATTGGAATATAATATTTTAAAGTTTGGTATTCAGAAAATAGGCTTAGACGAATTCATGCTGTATGCACATGGTCCAGATTTATGTCATGAATCAGATCTTAGACACGCAATGGCAAATGCTTTTGAAGCTATGATGGCTGCCATATATTTAGACGCTGGCATCGACGAATGCGATAGGTCTGTAGATTTGCAAAAACTAGAATTAATATTTTTCATTTCATCAATCATGATTGTCTTTCCAGAATTTTCGGTCATGCGATGTTTAGTGATTCAGAAGAGTTGCTTTCTACTTGGTTTAATTTAGAAGAGCATCCTCTAAAGGTATGCTGAGTTTTTTATCAATTTTCATGCTAGCATCAACATTTATAACATTTGCAAACTTTTCATCTTTTATTGTAAATACTGCTCATATTGTATGAAAATTTCGTACCCTTGATAGCTTTGATTTTTCTTGTTAATTCCGCTTTTTATCTACTACATATTCCTATTTAATGTATGAAAATTTAAAGGAGTGTTTTTTACAGCGTGATAACCCAAATGGCGATCGTCATTTGATAAACAACATTCCAGCTCTTCAGCTGCTTACACAGCTAGAACAAAATATCGGAATTACATTTAAGCATATCCGAGTACTGGCTAAAGCGTTCACCAGAAGGAATATTGGATTTAACAACCTCACATTGTCAGTACTTTATTAATTTTTTATGAAAAAGTAGTAAACATGATTTTTCAGAAAAAAATTTTTTTGTCACTATTACAGAGGACACAATCAACGCCTCGAGTTCCTTGGAGATACGGTTCTGCAATTAATAACAACCGATTATCTTTATAAGCATTTTCCGTATCATCACGAAGGTCATTTATCTATATTACGAACATGTCTAGTTAGTAATAGAGTGAGTCCCATTTCTCTGATCAATTTTTATGCAACTTTTGTTCGCGAAAATTTGCATAAAACCCGATTTATATTGAGTTATAATTAGCATTTTTATCTAAAATCATTCTTTTACAATCAACTTACATTTAATCAATGATGAGCACATTTAACAATATATGACGGACTGAGGAAAATAAATTACAGACACAGTCCGTTATTTGTGATGACATTGGCATGTCAAAATACGTGGTAACTCCAAAAGTCATGCAGAAAAGTGGTTTGCCTCAGTTGCGAGTAAAAGACAAAGCAGATCTTGTCGAAGGTAGCATTTCTCAACAATTCATTATTTCATTGTTGTATTGTCAAACAATATAAGATTTTAAAATTTTATATTTACACATTTAGTTGGGTGATTTAGATTGGACTCAATAACAACTATATTATTCACATACTTTAATTTATTTAGCATTCCTTGGTGCTCTTTACGTCGATCGTGGGTTGGATTACTGCAAAGTTTTTTGTAGAATTTGCTTCTTCCCTCGTTTAAAGGTCATTTTTCATATCATTTAAAGTACAGTCATTTGTTTTTCTACCTTTCAAACAAATGTGTATAGGCAGATTAATTTCGTTTAATTTTTTTTATGTGTTTGAGAAATGTTTTTCTAGTTTTTCATCATTTCACAACACTGGAATGATCCAAAATCACAGCTACAGCAGTGCTGTTTGACTCTTCGACAAATGGACGGTAGTGAACCAGATATACCGGAATACAAAACAATTGCTGTCGAAGGTCCTACTAATACGAGGGTGTATAAGGTTGCTGTTTATTTTAGGTAATTTTCTTTTCTATTGGAACGTTTTCTCATACATTTTTTTATCATTTTATATTTTGAATTTGGTAGTTGGATTGAATATAACATGAAAACTTTTGTCTAGCATCACTTCCATAACACTTTTATTCGATATTAAGAGGAAATTTTGTGACTTTTGCCAGTTTTTAATATCTCCGATCTCATTATTATTAATAACCGTTTTCGATTTTAGTGATTTTTATATTTATTTTAGTTTTTATTAAAACTGAGATTTTATCAGTTCCAAAATTCCATATTGTCTACATTGAATTTTTCAAAATCGAAGACTATGAAATTTTCTTTCGCGAGTCATGCCAACTGCTGTATTTTAAGAATAGAAATATGTGATGATAGTTTTATTTGAAATTGCTAAAATTTATCTTGGTTTCAGAAATAAGAGGCTTGCAGTAGGTTGTGGACACACCATGCAACTAGCTCAGATGCATGCTGCTGAAAATGCATTAATAAAACGAGCTGATCTTTTTCCAACGCTGAAAAGTGCAAAACATAATACGGAGCAACATAAACATGAAAATAATCAAACTATCAAAATGTAAGTGTTAGTCATCATGTTCATAAATAATAGCTTAAGGTTTGCTCAGTAATTAATGTGCTAATACTTACAATAATAATAATTGTTTTACTTTAGGAAACAAGAATCCAGTAATATAAGGAAACAACAAACTTCGTCTGATTCATCGCAAAGCTTTCAACGAGATGCTAGTGCATCAGTCACAGATGATTGTCAAACCCCTAAGCCACCGATTCTATCTTTGCTTGACCTCAAGTTTGACGAAGACGGTTATCTGTTGTAAAGTATTGACTTTGAACCTCATGATTATTGATTTTGCAAGTTTGTGTGCTTAAATATTGTTTATTTTTTTGATTTCTTGTAAATGAGTGATGCCTATAATTTAAATATGGTTACATAGGCTGTTCAGCAAATGATACTCGTTAAGATAGCATATTGACATTTTATCAGATTCATAAAATACGAAATATTTCACCAAATTCTTCCGTTTTTTTTCACTTTCTCTTCAGATCTTTTATGATAGCTCTATTATGTGGCACTTTCGCAAATGCTTGCATATTTGTTTTTGAATCAGTATTTCACATCAGTACTGTAGGTTTTTCTTATCGAAAATATGTTCTCTAATGTCTTTTCAAGAACATAATAATGTTTCAGCCTACTGGTAGATTTGAAATACATTTGCATATAAAAAACGTATTATTCGTTTCTTTGTTGATTATAAACAAATGTTAAGCAATAGAAAGTTACAGAAGAACATCGATATGAAATTGAGTTTTCATGACTTTATTTGTCCAGAATGTTATTACTTTATTATCGTGCCTCTATTAAGCTCCGCAGCTTAATACCGTGATGAGTGATTGAAGCCTTAAGCACATAATATAAATTTATTTATCTGCTATATAATTTGTGCTAAGAGAAACAAAATACTGGTAATTATTTATGAGATTTATTCTCTAAATAAATTATTGATTTATTCGATAAATGCGAATTGCACAGAATATGAATGCATCGCTTACAATGCTTATTTCACTGCGGAATTAAATTGGCTTAGTCACATAATCACAATTAACGGTGCTTAGTTTATTTTTACCTATTTCAGAGCAGAATGAGTTTGTGATTCTGTTCATAGTTCAAAGGATGTTCGCTGCAGCAAGAATTCAAAGTGCAAGGTCGTAAATATTTAGTTTTGCTGAAGTGTTACCAGACATGATTATGTTATTGTAAATGGCTTATACTGCCAATAGTTTTTACTGGACTTGTATAACATCTGCGTTGTTTGATGATACCATGCTGATATTTTAGATTGTATATAAAATGCGTAAGACGGACCTTAACTCATCACATAGATACTTCTGCTGCTAATCACGTAACTAAAGTATTACAACCTTTAGAATCAACGGTAATTAAATTTTTTATTTTGAAGCAAAATGATTAATTGACTTGGAATTGATAAGTATAAAACAGTCTGCATATGCTTATCTATTTCCATGTTTTAGGTATTTTTACAAATTATGATTAATTTTTTTAGAGCCTTTGTGCCGAGGATGCTGTTGAGAGCTCGTCAGGGCTTACTTCTCAGATCAGTCATGTAGAAATGAGTCTTCTCAAAAAGCACGGTAGACATTTTGAAGTTGATCAGCAAAAAGACATCTATGATATCATTGATGGGTATCCTTTCATATATCTTCTTCTAATATCTCATTTTTTCAATTTTATAGTTTAGTGAATTGCTTGATTTTTTTAAAATCTGTTTTCAGAGTTTTTCCGATTGCAAAGATGTATTTAGTTTCAGAAAGTTTGTGCTTTTATTCTACTTTACTCTTCATATGACTTTGACTTATGAATAAATTTATTCATATGTCAATCGCTTCAAGTTTTTACACATGAATAATATTTAAAAAATTTATTTGAAGAACTTTCTCTAGTATTAGCTGAAAAATGCATCGATGGTTTCTTTACATTAGATTAATGTTTTTACATTAAAGCATGCTTTTATTCTACTTTACTCTTCATATGCTTTTTATAAAAATTCATTTTTTTAGCATCCAGTTTTGTTTAATATTAAATTTGCATTTTGAATTACGTAATTGGAAATATCCAGTCCTCCATTTTCATTAATGAAAATCCAACGAACTTAAAATATGCTCTAAAATTATTCCAAACTTTTTCAATCAAGACATGTTCATCAATTAATGTTTTTTTTCTTTTTTTAAAGTTTCGAGTGGCACCAGCTAGTGACGGAGGCACATCTTGAAAAGGCATTAAAGTCATTAAAGGATTGCAAAAATGGCATCAAAAGATTGACGGATTCGGAAATTGGTATTCTCTTCAGCGGGACGGGTTCTCAGTGTCCCATGTTGTCTGCAGAGCAGAGAAATGAATATACCAATCGATTACTGAAGTGTTTTAAAATGGAAGGTGGTATTTATGATTTTTTTTGTTGGATTGAAACAACACTTCTTTTGAAACTTTAATTTTGTCTGATTAACAATCTCTTGCGTTTCAGTCATCTTTTGATGGTGAAGAATCTCATCATATTTTGTAGGCATTAGTTTGGGTATTGATGCTCGAAATGCTTTACTTCGAGTTCAAATTGATAATAATATCAATATTGACATATCGACACTCTTAAAACAGTTTGAAACTGATGGGCTTGTTGCTAATTCCCAAACTTATGGTCAGCTTTCTCGGATTTATGCACGAAAGGCAGATATTAAAGGAATTCTGTGAGAAGTTTATGTTGTTCATAAATCATAATAATTTTTAAGCTTAGACAATAAGTAATATGGTAATTAATTTAATTTGAAAAGCACTCATGGTTGCTATTGCAGTGCTTATCTGTTTGTAATACTAACATTACCATTCAGTCGTGCTCTATGACTTTTTCTAAAGAAGTATATAAAATTGAAATACTGAAAACATTTGCATTCATAAATGTTGTGCGAATTCAGGGAAATTACGAATCGCATGAAAAGCATTGGTCTGGAATTATCAGATCAAATACTTGAATCAATGGTGTATGCCTTAGTCAGGTCAGGGCAAGATGACAAAGCAAAATCAGTTATTGAGGTATTTTTGACTAGTACATCATAACTTTTTCATATAATCGCAAGACATTCTGATGTAAAAATCTTATGAAATTTTATCTGTCCTTGAATTGTTTCTGTATCTTCAGTGTTCTGCGAATAATTCATTCTTGTCAAATAGCTTAAAAATGAGTTATGCTCTGGCCAAAGCTGAAAATTTCGACGATGGCAAAGTGCTAGAGGTTAAACTTTAACTTTTGATTTACCCATTGAATTAGGCACATCTTAGAAATAATTAGTAGCACTGACTAAAAAAATGGCCTCATTCAGGTTTTGGATGGGATTGTGGATACTAAATCACTCGTGGATAACCATCTTTCTTCTATTTGTAATATATTATTTGCTCTTGCCAACAGAGGAAATCATGAAGCTATTGTAAAGGTATGTATGTATTTTTTTGTATTGAAGTTTGCATTATTTGATCTTTTCACTTATACTTTTGCAAGACTTATAAAAAACTGTTTAGCTGAAAGAAGTATTTCCTTTGCTATTGAATAGTGATATTGGCAAGCAGTGGGAATTTACTGTCTTTAGCAAAACGCTTAGGTTGCTAAGGAAGAATGAAGAGAATATTATGGCAGCTGCTTTGTTGCTCGACTTTATTCCTAACTTTGAAAAACGGTAACATTTCTATATTGTATCGCATGAATAAGGCTAATCAAAATTTAGAAAATATTGTTCCACCTCTTTCGAAATTCATCAATAAAGTCGTTTAACAGGCGATGATTTGACGTTAAATCAGTTCCTTTTCATCCTGTTAAAATTTGATATTTGTGATTGCCATTTCATCTGGTGAGTGCATTCATGCTGTACTCTTTATGTTAAAACATTGAGAGTGCTCTTTTTTCTTCAAAAATATCAAAATAAAACTAACCAAGGGTATATGAGTTCTACTTCTCGCATTTTGAGATTTTTCACTTCAAATTCTTGACCTAGTATTTTTGTTTTTGTTTTGAGAGTAAAGTTGAGAACTATTCTGACGAAGCAATTTCCAACTATCATTCAAACGAAGCAAGTTATGGAGGCCGTAAAAACGTGCATAGTTTTCCAAAAATGCAATATTTTAAAGTACGTTTTCTTCTTTTCATACAAAGTATGTTGAATTTATTGATTATCGAACTTAAAATTCTTTTCTAGGCATCCACTGCGAATCTATCTTCGGGAAGTAGCATTTAACAATGCTAACAATTTCTGTCAGCTTTTTCAAATTTACAAAAAAACCGACGATTTTTCAAAATTGGATGGTCGCTCTCATCTTCAAATTCCCACTGCTTTATTTCATTTGCATGAGGTAACCTTAGGGTGATGTGTTTATTTTTCATTTCTTCATCATATTGTAGAGACATCTCTTAGGCTGACGTTTGGTAGTTAAATTATTCAAATATTCATTATTTAGCATTTGAATGAATTAGTTTTGTTGGTTTGTTTTTTTGGTATGTTTTTCATTAATCAGTTTTTAGTACAATTTTTCAGTTGCAAAAAACGGACTCACAAGAAAAGAAAGTTGCTCATTATTTGGATATAGTTTGCTGCCTTCAGTCAGTTGATTCTGAATCTTGTGGTGATAATTACTTCACTATCATTAAAAATCTCTTTGTTCTTCCTCTTCTAAATGGTGAACTATCATTTGATAATTTATTTCATACTTTTTTACTTTTAATTTTATTATAATTCTAACATTAGTTTGACGGTGCTGTTCAATTTCCAACGTTTCATTGTCATTATTTTTCAATGTTTCATTTATGCAGTCTCTAATTCATTATCAGTTTTC